AATTATTATTCAATACAAACGCTAGATGTAGTAGTATCGTTTTATCGGAAGCTCTGCATTTAATATTGAATTCGTAAAATTTGTTATATATTTAGTTTGTTTCAATCTATCTATAAAGATCTATCAATAATTTCTCTCTTTCCGTCTGCAGAGAATCATTCCGTGCAAAAAGAGAATTCATTGGTTTATTTTCATTGTGATATGATATCATCATCTGATTAAAAGTAAGCAATAGAGTTACTTTTTTTTTTGAACTCCCTGAACAAATTTTGATTACGGCGATCTTGTGGTTGATCATTATCATGCATTTTTTTCCCCCCTCTTTTTGTGTACATAAAAATTGCTTACAGATTTTACTCAGAAGTAATTCTACAACAGTCATTTTCGATATATTAGAAATGCTTATCAATAACATCTTATTCAGAATTTTGTTAGTCTGCATAAAATTCTGGAATCTTTGATAGTTATCATTGCATATAAAATTCTGTTACTAGCAGTTTCAAGTTTTCTTTGAGCAAAATTGAAGTTTGTATGGATTGAGTATTATTGTACACGTCAGAAATGAAATAGTGTGGTGTTGGAAAGATTTGATAAAGAATGATTTTGATATGATGTAATGTGACAATAGCATGATATAATATGATAACATATTATGTAATGTGACGTATTAATAAACTTCCATATTTGAGTACGATATAAGTTAGCTTTCAGGTTATCAGAAATTTTTTTCTTCTACAATTTTTTGCAACAGATATAATAGTAAAAAATGAAAGAAAGAATGCAGAAAAAGGAGATTATTCAAACTTAAATCTTCATGTTTAACTGTATGAGACAAATGAAGTTATTAAATTTCGATTTAAAAATCCAAGCCAATATTAACATCAATTTTGTATTATTGGACAATATCGTTTCCAATCATTATACGTCGTCAAATCATTAAAATTTGGAATTAATGTAGATGTAAAAGGAAAAATGATAGGTATCGTTAGAGGTATCATGAAAAACATTCGACTACTTTTTCATATTTGATCCTTTTTCGTTTGTTTTATTTTATCTTTAAATTATATTAGCCATGAAAATTTTGCTTCTTTAAATGATGGTTAGATATCATTTAAAGTATTACGTAACAAATGTCATATACTATAAAACATTACGATATCAAATTCTTTTAGACTCAAAAAAAAATTAAATTTAAAAAATTTTTGACGATATGGTATCGGTAGAGGTGTTAATGTTTCAGAGATTATTTAAAATAAACAAAACAAGCATTTTATCGTAGCTAATTTTTTTATCATTAACAGCGTTGTTATCTTTTAATGGACGTTAAATTTTCTATGCAAGTGCTATTTTCCCAAGTATTACTATGAAATGTATTGCATAAAATTATATTTGATAAAAATAAATCAACAAATATAATTCTATTTTATATTTTAGCATCATAATATTTGTCTATCGTTTTAATGAACGTTGCATTCCTATGCAGTGCTCTTTGCGGAAGTATCATTGCGAAATTTGTTGCATAAGATTTTCATTATAATTTGGAAAATCAACTTGAAGTGAAATTATGGATTACCTTGGTCGTATATTATGTAATACAGATGAAATACAAGTAAGTTATCTCTATCATATCATTATTCTAGTTCCTTATCAGATAGGAGAATATTACGAACAAAATTATTAACCAATGTTGCAATTTCCTTATAGCAAATTAATTCCCTATGATTACTTCTCAAAATTCAACTTTGAATATATTCGTAATGCGAACAAAAGGTAACATCAACCTTTTCTTTTTAAACAAACTTTTCGTAACTCATTAAAATGTTGTCTTTGTTGTTTGTTTTTTTTTTAAAAAAAGTTGTACTTTCACATTGTACGCAAATATTGATATATTTCAGTTTATTTTTTTTTATTTTAAAAAGCAAATAAAACATTCAGTTTACCGATAATTCAACCAATGAAAAGATAACAAGTGATTAGACGGCTGATATCATAAGCCTCTTTCAGATAAGTTCTAGGCTAGTTACTTATAAGGAAATTTACTGCACTGAGTATGCATATATTTTCAATATCCTGTTAATTTTCCATACAATTGTTTAGTAGGATGGTAACCAATGCGATCAGATAGATTTCCTAAATTTAAATTAAGCAGCAATTAAAATTCCGCAGGCACTACTTCTTTCCTGATCTGTTTTGTTGTTTATAATAAATTTAATAATATCAAGCTAAATCTCCATACAACATAAGATGCAGCACCAATAAAATTCATCGATCAAAAGAAGTAGTTTAGCATTCTGAAAATACTGAAAATTTCCAATATTTTTGAATTGTTCTATCTTGCATTATAAAGGTTATAACCTTTCAGGTGTTCGATTATTCATTGAATAGTACTGTGCCACATACTACAAATTGTACTCAATCATCAATTCTTGTCCTTATTCCGCTAATATTTTTGGTTGTATTTAGTCCACTTGTTCTATATGACCTCAAGAAAAGTCGAAATCCTCCGTTAGAACTTTATTCACCAACAGTTGCCCGAATTGTAAGTTTAATTCTCCTTCCGTTGCTTATTCTTTTTTTTTTTTTTTAAATTCTGTCAGTACCAATCAGACTCATATAGAAGGATATTATTTGGCTGTGTTCATTTTGAAGTTATTACAGCCTGTTTGCTGGATTATTAAGATGTATGATTTTTGGCTAGCAGTTAGCATGCGATTTCCTTATTGTATGCATTATGAGTTAGCATTTTGTAAGAAGAATCGTTTGATTCTTGCAAACTTTGCGTTTTTTCTCTCATTGTGCAACTGTTTCATCTGATGATATGAAAATTAAAGTTTTCATTGAATTAAGGATCTTTTTGAATAAATATATTTGAATGAAAAGATTATATGAAGTAGTCAACTGTAAACTCGGGAAGTTTTACTAAATTAGACTTCAGATACTCTGCTTCCTGCTGGTAGTGAACCGTTTAATTGCAACAGCATTCAATCTAATAATATGGTTCCGAACACCATTAACGTATCAACCGTACAGCATCATGTCATGTTGCTGTCAATCAGTGACCTACTGCATATGTTTGCTGTTACTAATTGCTTATCGTAATCGTGGCTTAGTAACTTCCGGCGTTTTGTTCAACTTTTGGCTTCTTACTGCAATTTGTGCATTTCCAGAACTTAGACGCCGGTCTTCATATGCCGAAGATTTTATCGGAATTCAGGTTAGTAATTACTAGTAGGATGATAAAATAATTTCCATGGTTAATGTAAACATAATGTTCTGCTTCGACAACGGGAAAGCAGAGAAGGCTTTCTAGTTTTTGGTTGAAGTGTCTGGATGGGAAATTAGTTTTAAGGTTTGACATTCCTTTCTTTGCTTATTTTAGAATTTTGTCCATTTATGTCTTTTAGGATGAACATGAAGTCTTCGTGAAATATGTGTTGTATATAATCTACTACGCATTCATACTGCTCGAAGTATTCTTGTCATGCTTTGCCGATAAGCCAAAATATTGGATGGAAGATGTAAGCATATTTGAATCATGTTATCCTTCTTTCGATATTAATCTGTTTGAAAATTGCGATTTCAGAATAAACCAGTGTCTTTTAACTGTTCATTTCAGGAGAAGCTTTGTCCAGAAGATAATTGTTCCTACCTGAATAAAATAACATTCAACTGGTTCCATAACTTGGCAGCACGTGGTTTTCGTAGACCGTTGGAAGTTAATGATTTATGGCGATTGCGGCTGCATGAAGAAAGTGAAAATTTGCTGAAAAAGTTCAAGCGTCATTGGGTACCAGCGGTTAATGGTATGTTTGTATATTTCATATGTTTCCTTAATTTAATTCTGTAGTTGTTAAATATATGCAATATATTTCAAATTTTGAAGAGTGAAGAACGTATGATTTGCTACCATTTACACTCAACTCCTTTCTTCAAAATGTTATTCACACATTCTCCAGGAATTATCGGGTTGGCATTGCAGACATAAGAGTGAGATACATTATAAATTCATGCGAACTTTGCTGTTTTTTTCATTTTATAATTTTTAAAGAATGTAGGATGTGAAATACTTTATATTACATTATAACCATATTTTTCAAAGTGTTTTTGTTTTTGATTTTCATTACATTTAATCAAATTTACTTTTCAGCCTACTATGAAAAGAAACGTTCAACGGAACGGTCAACGTCACTTAAGGTTTCTCTTTTCCATTCAAAAATTTGTCACTCTTCCTGAATAATTTTACTTTTTCATTCTAAAATTTGTCACTCTTCTTGAATAATTTTACTTGTATTGTTACTTCATGATTACCTTTCTTAGGTTGGTCTTATTTTAGAAACTTGGTCCGAAAGCACAACCATCGTTATTGTGGGCACTTGTGAAAACATATCGCTGGACCATTTCAGCTGGAGCTGCGATGAAATTTATATTTGACTTGTTAAATTTCGTTAACCCACAGCTTCTCGGGTCAAATATTTATTTTTGCTTTTTCCTAGAATCGAATTGATTCTTGAAAATTTTCTTTGACTTTCGTACAATTTCTTAAATGTTTAGCATATTAAAGTTGATTTTTTTTATTTAGTATTCCTCAACATAAGGGAATTCGTGCAGCGATTTGCATAAAGTTGGTTAATGGCTAACTCTTTTGAAATATTTCAACATTCCGGCATTTTAGTACTAAAACAAATAAAACTGTACTTATTTATACTGAATATAGAAAATTTTCGTAGCTAATGCATGAATTTATGTACCATGCAAATGACTTATTGTTTTTTAGTGCATTAATCTCATATATCGAAGACAGGAAACGACCGCTATGGATGGGTATTGCTATATCATTTGCCATGTTTATAGTTGCGCTCGTTCAGTCAATGGTTAGTTAACTAAGTATATCCGTTGCTATGTAAAAGCATTGTTTATCTGAGATATGTCTAAATTATGAGAAATATAAAATTATAGCAAATCAAAGAATAGAAAAAACTATGAAGAAGTCCTGGAATACACTAAAAAATTCTGGGGGAAACTTAACAGATTCCTTGTCTGAATTGTTATTTAAACAATTTGCAGATTCTGCATCAATATTTTCACAAAATGTTCATGCTGGGTATGAATGTGCGTTCTGTGCTGACAAACGCTGTTTATGTCAAGGCATGTCATAGTCTTATTTGTTTTCAGTATCATTTTATTTTATGGCTGATTTACTTCTGATTACTTTGGAGGAAATAAAGAAAATAAATTCTTCTGTTGAAAACAATTTACTCTTAGTCTGAGTTTATTTTTTTTGAAGTAATCAGTTATATTTAATCAATTATTCGAAATCAGTTTTTTTTTCTACAGGCATTAATGTTATCCAACACGGCTCGAAAAAATCGTACTGTTGGGGAAATTGTAAATTTGATTTCTGTGGATGTCCAGCGTTTCCAAGATATCGCGAGTTTTATCATGCTTTTTTGGTCTGCTCCACTTCAAGTAAGCTAATACAAAAGGAATTTTGCATTATTTTTAAATTAATGCAAGTAATTACTTTTATGTGGAAAAATAAATTTCTAAGTTTGAGTAAAAAATTGATCAATTTCTGATTAGTCTGTCATTTCATTACTTCCAGTCTATCACCCTCTGTATAGATTTTTTTACTACAGATATCACTGGCGATTTACTTTCTATGGCGATTACTTGGTATAGCAGTTATTGCTGGTCTCACCGTACTTTTCGCTACAATTCCCTTGACTTCATATATTTCTCTACGAATGAAAAGCTGTCAGGTACTCATTTCTAAATCCATGAAATCAAAGTCAAACAATTTTCTTTGGTCGTAAAAAAGTTTACTTAAAATATTTGCTGTTAAATGTTTATATTAACATCAATTGGTGTTTGGATAATGTTTTTATTTATAGAAATTCCATATCGTTTATTAATAATTTTGGGAATGCCATACAGATGAATTTCAGGGAAGACAAATGAAATTGCGGGATGAACGTTTGAAGTCGATGTCAGAAATTTTAAATGGAATTCGAATAATTAAATTCTATGCTTGGGAGAAAAGTATGCAAAAACTGGTTTGTTTATACGATTTTTAATATTATCATTCTTGAGTTTATTCAAAATTTGGTAGGATTTAGTACGATTTATTGGCGTTCCAGGTTTTGGAAATTCGTGAGAAAGAGATTGCCGTGCTACGCGAAATTGCACTTTATAATGCTGCAATATCATTGACTTGGTCATGTGCACCATTTCTTGTTGCCGTTGTCACTTTTGGTTTGTATGTGAAAATTGACCCACAACACAACCGACTTACACCTCAAGTAAGATAAACTTCATGTAGATCTAATCCGAAAAAAAAAGAAATTCAACTAGGGCAAATTTGAAAATTTTAATTAGGGTTTATCCTGGTTAAGTAACTCGAGATTAATTCAGGTATAACCACTTTGGAATTAATTCACTTCAGATAAGTAACTTAAAATTAACTCAAAGTGGAGAAATTAATTTAAAAATGGTGGTTAAGGCAGTAAATGGAATGATTGTACTAATCATGCTAGTGAATCTTGGTTGTTACTTTTAATAGCCCAACATGTGCTACTAGTTCCTTAAGTATCCCAAACATTGGAAACTGGGCTTAAGGCAGTTGAGCACTTAATAATCAGATTTAAGTAGCTGCACAAAAAGATTTAAACAGGTATATTTTAATCGATCATAAGCATTAAAATGCTATTCGGTCATACATATATTACTAACATTTTTCATTTTTGGTTTAAATTTAATTGTTTTTGCAGGTTACATTTGTTAGTCTTTCACTTTTCAATCTGATACGTTTTCCAATGACAATCTTTCCGTTGATATTCAGTCAAGGAACACAGTGCTCGGTTAGCAATGCCAGACTGAAATCATTTTTGTCTGATGATGAAATGCATCTCTCTGTAATAGATCGATTCTCTTCAAACGGTTAGAAGTTGTGCATGTAGAGAATTGACTTCCAATCGAAAAATAACTTATATACACTTATTCTTTTTTTAAAATTTAGAGACCATTTTTCAAATTTTTTAGGATATCTTTGCAAACGAATAACCATTTTTACTGCATTTTAACTTTCAATTAAAAACTAGAAATTTGCAAACTAAAAACGGAAATTGATGAATCATTCCAATATTTTTGTTAATCTCTGTCTTGTTATCGAGTAATCTACTAATGCCTTATAGATTATGTCTTGTCAATACAGAACGGCAGTTTTTCTTGGGATAATAATAAAACGACATTGAATGACATCAATTTGAAAATTAAGAAAGGCGAGCTTGTTGCCATTGTTGGGAAAGTGGGCAGTGGTAAAAGTAGCTTGCTATCTGCTATTTTAGGTATGTTTTGATTCTCAGTGGTCTTCTTTGTTTTCGAATTTCCACTTCTGCTTATTTTATCGAATCCGTGTTTTTTTTTTCTGAAAAAGTGAAGAGATTTCAGTCTGATATATGAGATTTCATTCATTTCTATAAAAATTTAAGGCGAAATGGATAAGTTGAGCGGTAGTGTGGATGTTGTTGGGTCGATTGTTTATGCTCCGCAGCAACCGTGGATCCAGAACTTGTCGTTGATGGATAATATTTTATTTGGTAAACCTTTCGATGTCGAGCGTTATAAAATAGTACTTGATGCATGTGCATTGAAACCAGACCTCGCAACATTACCAGCTGGTGATCAAACTGAAATTGGGGAAAAGGTTATATTTTATCTTGGAATTAATTTACTCGAGAAAATATTTAGATTTCGCGTTGGATTTTGGTATATAATCCTTGATTTGCGATTATGAAAAAGTTAATCTATGTGCTGGATTTTAAATAAAAAGAGTATAGCGTGTAATACACTATATTTGTTTTGTTTCATTTTAGGGGATTAATTTGAGTGGCGGTCAGAAACATCGCGTAAGTCTGGCACGTGCTATATACGCCGATTCAGACATTGTTCTTCTGGACGATCCGCTGTCAGCTGTTGATGCCCAAGTTGGGCGGCACATATTCACCCGTGTCATTTGTTCGTTTCTTCCGATTCTGTTGATCAGTCATTCATTCTTACGTAGTTGTGCAAAATGCTATACTGTAGAAGTATTGAGTACAGTCATTTCCAGAAAATCTTTCAAATCATTTACAGAATAAATGAAACGAATCCGGAAACAGAAAACATAAGTTACAAAGTCAAAAATGAGTTCTTTAAGCATCTCAAACTGGCTTGTTAGCCAAGAAAACGCGTATTTTGGTAACACATGGACTACATTATCTGAAGTATTGTGATCAAATTGTCGTCATGAATGGTTAGAATTTTCGAAATTCAATTTTTTCCTCCAAATTTTGTTGCATTGTTTTCTTTAGTAAGATACTGAAATGAGCAAAGTACATGGTTTTTTTCCAAAACTACACGACGGTGGTATTTAACAGATGGTAGAATTACGGAAGTGGGCACATTTCAAGAATTAGTCCAAGCGCAAAAAGATTTCGCAGAATTTTTGGAAGAATTCCTTATAGACAAAGTGAAACAGCGCAGACAGTCACAGGATGAAAAAGAAGATTGTGAGTTTCATCTTAACTTTTACTTTGAAATGTAATGTCAGGAATTTATCCCATTTTTATGTTTTGGACAAGTCGAGGAGCAGAAAGGTCCAAATCCATCTGATGTATTTTTAAGGAATATGTGTGTCATTTCTGTTTGTCTGTTGTAAAAAATAATATCTGGTGAGCTCGTAACATACTTTCACTTTCCACATATACTCAGATCATCAGGTGGATTTGATTAAACGGTTTATGTATTATTAACCTTTTTCGGAAGATTGAGGTTAAGTCGTACCTGGCGTGCGGTTGCGCCACTTCCGGCAATATCTTGAATGTTATGGCAGTTACGATGTTTTCAGCAGAAGAAATGGAAGAATTGTTGAAAGATTTGCAAGTTTTCAATCCGGAACGACGAGAACGTTTGAAAAGTTTAAACAAGACAAGACAGCACACAGAGAGCACCTCAATAACTGCATCACCTATCGAACAGACATCTGTGCAAGATAATCTACAAGTCGAACAACAGGTTGCTATAGCTTGTTTCTGATTGTCCTATAACTCGAAACTGTTAATTACTAATTGAACATACAAATATAGTAAATTTCTGAAAGGTTCGTTTGAAGAGACGCAAGAATTATTAAGTAGTCTTAATGATCTAGTAACATAATGTTTGTGGATTATTTTAGGGACAGAATGTTGCAGCGAAAAGGATCACTAGTAATTCAATAAAAATCGAAGTTGGTGGAAAAGCAGATGGTATTTCATTGTCTGCACAAGTGGCTAATAAACCAACTGTACCAAACAACGATGAACGGTCGAAATTAATTGAAAAGGAAGATATTGAAGTTGGAAAGGTCTCTATGAAAGTTATTAAGAAGGAAAATATTCTTTTGTTGAAAGGTGAAAGTGATTATGAGAAATGATCTTTTTGTTGCACCACATCATGCTTTAAATTTTCTGTTTACTTGAAGAACCATTCTGTAGCATTTATGCTGCAGCTGATCCTTTTTTTGGAATTTGCTGTTAAAAAGAATTTCATTGCCTCAAAAAGTAATTGAATAGAGCCAAATTATAGATCAGAGATTAGTGAATTGAAAATTACAAATAGATCGAATATGAGGTGGGTAGGTGAAATTTTTCTTGACATGTTTAGACAAGTTGTATTTTTATTACAGGTGAAATTTGCAGTGTACCTTTTGTATCTTCATGCTATTGGTTATGGCACAGCAGCATTTTTTATTGCCATTTATATTTTTTCATCAGTGCTCGGTGTTTCATCCAATTTATGGTTAGCCAATTGGTCCGACCATGCCAAGAAAGCAAATATCACGGAAGCAAGTCAAGACGACACGAATTGGCGTTTAGCAATTTACGCAACACTCGGATTGGGACAGGGTGTGTTATTGCAAGAAATTACTAGAACATTTTCAAGTTTACTTCATCTTTGGGTGTTTAATTTTTTTCCATCTCTCTATTTTTCTCTTTCCACCCTTAAATTTTTAAAATCTAATCTTATGTCATACACGGAAATATTCCAAATATCCAGCTCCTCTTCTAACTGTGAATACCTTTTTAATCTAACAACTTTTTTCCTTCATCTAATCATTACTGTTAGCCACAATGGTTTGCATTGGTTCAATTATAATGGCATATGGGATGGTTTCTGCAAGTCAGAAATTGCACGAAGGAATACTGCGAAATATTATGCATTTACCAATGGCGTTTTTCGACATAACTCCGCTCGGACGTATCGTGAATCGTTTTGGAAAGGTATTTTTTCTATTTGTATGTATCAAGATTTCATTAGCTGATTGTTAAATCGGCTAAATTTCAGGTTCATATGAAGTACTATTTTATTTTTTCTTTTGAAATGTAGTGGAGTTCAAATTCAAATTTAATCATACTGGAAAATGTTTTAATTCATACATAATTGACTATAACGATGTCTGTGCAGCGAAAGTTAGAAAATGCAAAAATTAGGCGAAATAGTGCTCCATTTCTTTTTTGAACAGAGAATTCGTTTTGATTGTTCTTGCAAAATTTCTCTTCCTGTGTTTGGAGAGATGGAGAAGAATGTGGAACTATTATCCTTGAGATTTGTTTGTTCTAATGACTAAAACCTTTGAGTTATATGTTGTGGATATATCCTGCCATAATCACTTAGAAGTTCTTACAATAGTGAATTAAAGAATCCATGTTACGTGCACCCATCATTTAGTTACTTTGTACTCTTTGTTTTTTAATCGATAAGGACATATTCTATATCTGATAGATAGTGGAGGTTTGTTGATTATTGTATTATTTTGATATGTCCTATATCATTTTGGGTTTGCATCACTTAGGCTTTCTTTAATTTCTTTATTGCAGTATGAGTCACTGTCATTAATGTAGTACCCTTTTTAAGACGATGGTATTTTAATTACTTTATATTCTGGATAAGAGATTATTCAAAAATTTGAATTGATTCTTTGAAAATTTCAAAGAGTCAGAAATTTTTTTTGTTAAAAATACCATTCAAGAATTCGGACGGAATTTTACCGCTTCCTCTCCATCTGAGTGACTCCCGAACATGAAATTGCAATTGTGGCAGATTTTACGCTTTTTATCCAAATAGTAATAATGGAAAATAAATACTCACCTTGCAGTAATACTTTCTGGTTTCTCTTCAAGTTCCTCTTAAGTCTTCATTAACACGGGTGTTTGATGTCTGCTCTTGTAGATATACTTTTATAATAATAAGAGAAAATACAGTGATTATATACACGTTTATTTAACAAGCGTCGAAATTAAAATTAATCATTCAAACGGTCACGTGTAACGGTCCATTTGTTTCATTCAAGTCCGGAAAATATGTTTAGATTTTTTCATGCAGTGAACTTTTTCATACTGAGGGTGCAGTACCCACTGTTAGAATGTTTTCGAATTTAGATGATCAATTCGGCATTGAGAATAAAACCCGGATATCATCAACATGTCAATTTTTTCAAAAAACATGCGCATTGTTTTGATATAGAGAAACAAAAACTTTGCACGACAGATCATCAATCCATTGCATAAATCTTCCTTCTTATTATAAATCTTTTTTCTCATTATCCTCCTCATTTCAATCTAACAGACTCCCTCCTTTTTCGTGACATGTTCTAATTAGGTGGTACTATCTGTCTCTGTGTCATTTCTTTTTTGTATCTCAAGAAGTTTAAGAATCATTTTCTAACTGCTTTGAAAGAGTTTGGTCTGTTGAAGTACACATTAATTATTCAGTTAAGTAGACAAAGGTTTGGATTTTAAGTTTGAATCAATCTGTTTGTTGCAAAATTTGATGTTATTTCTATGTACAGTTTTAACTATGTCCTTCTTGATTTTTCTTCTATATTTCATTCACAATGGGAAACAAATATATGGTTTTTATGGCTTGCTGGAAGCTGTTTGATTTTAGTGTCCAAAATTATTATATTATTCATAGTAAAGGATATTTAGATTATCGCACTCAATTTAATTGCTATAATCTACTATGGTTCAGGGAATTCCGATGAGATCCTCTGTTAGATGGAAATGTTAAAATTCACTCTCGAAATGGGTAACCATCAATAAGATAACAGGAAAAATTGCAGGATATAGAAATAGTGGATGCATTATTGCCGCATACATCTCATTCATTCATATCAACAGTACTTGTTGTTTTAATGACAGCGGCTGTAATCCTATATGCTACGCCGATGTATTCAATCGTCATACCCTTTCTTGCTGCTATTTATTTCCTTGTTCTGGTATGCTTCATCAAAAAAGAAAATCTACTTTTTTTTTAGAGATGATATGATCGTTTCCAGAATGAAGAAAAGAGGAAAGCGTTGCAAGAGAACATACGCATACTCTTAATGAAAAAAAACTCTTAATGACCTTACTCTTAATTAATTAACTCTTAATGACCTTACTCTTAACATACTCTTAATGGCCTTACTCTTAACATACTCTTAATGACCTTTACAGGACCTGCTTGGAAATGATCCCCACAAATTGCTCTTTTTTCTTCCCATTTAATTTAGTCGGTATGTAAGTATATTTTATGCAATTGGATAGGTTATAATAATTACTTGCATGCATTTTTGGTAGAAGCATGATGTGACATTTTTTCTTTTTTTAATTTTTCAGGGGAAAAATTCAGTTTTTGAAATGTTATTCGACTGATTTTCATTTGAAGCGTACTTTATTGTCAGAAGGATTTTATTTTTGCTGTTGTTAAGAATATGGATTTTCATAAATTTTGGCAGTTATGAAACGTTTCATACCATTCTAATTATTGTTTGCAGTCTTTCTGTAGTTGAATTAAAGACCAATAAACACTTATAGATGTTTATTGGTCTTTAATTCTTATCAAACTAACGGTAAAATGGAAATTTTTCCTCCAGAATTGTTGCGAATCGCTTTTTTGCACATTTTCTGCATCAAGATTTTCCTTTTCTAAAATGGCGTCACTGCATTTTGCATGTTACCGTCATAATCATACTCTGTATATGACTCAGGAATGAGGACGGAATCAGACTTCACTATATATAATTGTTTTAGCCAGAAATTTTATTCAGTAAATTTTTTCCAGGTTTATTGTGGCGTTCACTTCCTTGCAAGTAGCATGGCTGCATTTTCTGTGGCATCGTGATATTAATAAATTACTTGTGTGAGTTTGTTCAGAATTCACAAATTTGCACGTGTTTGCATGTTTGCAGGATTTGCAAAATCTCGATGAACGTTTACCATCATCATTGATGACCTTCATTGGATGTATTGTTACCGCTTTTAGTATTATGATTCTACCAGCACTCATGACGCCACAGATTGTCCTTACCTTCGCTATTATTTCATTCCTATATTGTATGCTAATGGTAATTTTTACAACCCATACTACATGAAAGATGGATATATTAGATTTCATCCAAAATAGGTTATTTGTTGTTAGTGCGGCGCGATGCAGGATATTATTATATGATGTTGCTAGTATTCTAATTTTTTCCATTCAATTTAATTCCTTTTTATATAAAACTCGAAAAAATGATTTCACTTATGTAACAAATTTCAGCATTAAATTTACCTTTTCTCTTCCACTTTCGCTTGTAATTAAGCTTATTAGAATATTCATAAGATGTAATGAAACAATGTTAATGAAGCAGAAATCTTCTGTCATTTTGTTCGTAAGAAATTGATCATTTCGTGGTGCTACATTAAGTATTCCGAAGTCAAGTTTCATAAAAGTCAACCTTCTTTCCATACTCTGAAAGAGTACAGAAAGCTACCTGATACATACATTTAACATACATGTGTCTTATTGTAAAATATAAAAATTAGGCAGAATTTTTACTAAAGTTTATGGGAGGTTTTTCGACTCCATTGTGAATCATTTGCTTTGTTTTTTGTTTCTTTTTTTGCGCTTTTGCTGCAATTGTTGCACAGCTGGAGTTCCAAATTCGTATGCGCTTATCGTCGAAAAATACTTTGGATTGGTTCGAGGGTATATCTGCTTGTGAAGATTGAAAAAATGATATTTATTCATAGTTTGATTTATTTTGTGCTTCTGTTTGCTTTCTATCTCTCTATTTCAAATTCATTTGTTTTGGCATGGAATTTACTGCATGCTGAATGTAATTTGCGAAGAGCATCCCCATGAATATAGAAAGAATTGAAATGATGGTACGCTAGAAAATATGGAATCTGGATGAGGTTCATATAGTGCTGGAATATTCTGCGAGTTCAAAATTCTGCCTTTGGTCACGTTTATACTCACCTACTGACAGCTTTATACTATCAACCAGCTTTAAAAATTTAGAAACTGGAAAGTATCTGTTAAACCGTAAATTTCTGTTACTAAAGAAAATACTTGACGTACTGAATATCTGCAGTACGCATCATTCATTTTCAGCGTTTCTATATTTCGACGTCACGGCAACTGAAACGTCTTGAATCTGCCGCTCGATCTCCCATTTATTCGCATTTTCAAGTTAGTTTTTATCTCATTGCGAAGGGAAGGGAAAGTTCTGGTGTGGGAAAAATTTGAAAGATTTTCTCCTTTAATCTCCGGAGACACTGATGATAAGCAGTAAATTTTGCGGGTTTTCCCTTAATTAGAACTCTTAAAAAACGGCTATTTTTAAAATATATTGAATCATTTCTGGATTGAAGACATAGGAAGAAACAAAGCTGTTATAACGATAAACCGTGGAAAGGGGTAATCTCTCAAGATTCGGTATATTTTTAATTTTTGAAGGGCAAATGTTTCACTAGCAGATACTAAATCTGATTTTTGTCCTTCGAATTCATTGTGACAAATTCCAGGAATCGATCCAAGGATGTGCCTCGATCAGAGCATATCGATGTATGGATCGTTTTGTTCGTGAATCTCAGGAACGTCTTGATAAGAATATTGTTATACAATATCACTTACTGGTTGCTAACAGGTGCGAAAAATCTTAATTAACATATTAGTAAGGAATAGTTCTCCAGGTCTGCTTTTGTGCTTTTAGAGTACTCGTCACAAAAAATGATAACATACAAATTTAAAATAGATTTGAATTTCAGATGGTTAGCAGTGCGCTTAGAGCTTGTCGGTAACCTTATTGTGTTCTGCTCGGCTTTATTTGCAGTCTTCTGTAGAGATAGCGGTTCGGCAACAGCTGGTTTGGTTGGATTATCCGTTGCATATGCTCTTAGTGTACTATTTTTAATTAATTTTTATTTTTAAATTTTTTAAGTTGTGAATCCAATAATGCTTTTTTTTGTGAATCCAAATAATGCTTTTTCAAACGATTTTTCTTTATCACATTTTTTTCACTTAACTTCATAAGGAGAAGTGATAGGCTAGAAACATATTATCAGAAAAAAAATAATCTTATTCTCATAATTTTTATGAAATCATTTTTATGTAGAATTTCATATTTTTCATTTTAGATAACACAAACTTTAAATTGGGCCGTACGTATGGCAAGCGAATTGGAAACCAATGTTGTTGCTGTTGAACGACTCAGGGAATACACTGATTTACCAACTGAGGTAGGAAGCTTGTCATGTAACTTTTGCGATTAAATTAATGTACTTCGAAAGAACTGAATATCATTTTGTATATCGCATTATGGAAGTAATGGGAGCAGTCATTAAGACGTGTGTTTCAAAGGTTTCAGAAAAGAGTGATGGTGGATTAATATATTTTCATGAATTTTTAAACAGAGAATGTGTTCATCGCTGAAAGTCCTGTATTAAAAATTGTATTAGTGAAGTTGTACTTTTGAGTTATATTACGGCGAAATTACGTTACTGAAAGTTATGTTATAATGAGGTCATACGAACTCAAATAATACATGATGCTTGTAAAAAAAATAATTTCTGAAGTAATTAATTCTTGCAGGGTTTAACGAGTGAAAACGTAGCGCATACGCCACCACGAGACTGGCCAAGTAAAGGTGAAATTATTTTCGAGAAGTTGAAGATACGATACCGCGATAATTTGGAATTTGTTTTAAAAGGAATCAGTGCAACGATTCATCCAGCTGAAAAAGTTGGGATTGTTGGCAGAACTGGTGCAGGTCAAGTGCTGCGCTTATAATTCATTCTATATTCTACTGAAACATCATATAAACATAGTATATTGCCTTAACCTAAATCTACGAATTCTTCTACAGCTACTGCTGTAGAGGTGTGTAGTTGAAAACCTTGATTCAGAATCGAAACTGAATCTTTTCGGGCTTCAAAACGAGAAATATATTAATAGTTATACGGCAGTCAAGGACTGTCACTTAAATTGATAATAACGAGTTTCATCAAATCAGCATATCTCTTTCAGGTAAGAGTTCTCTCACACTTGCTTTGTTTCGCATTATTGAGGCGGATTCGGGTCGAATATTAATCGATAATGAAGATATTTCAAAAATGTCGTTGGATGATCTTCGCTCAAAATTAACAATTGTTCCACAGGTGTCATTTTTGATGACTGATTCAGTTTTGTGACTTAAATTCATCAGATGAAGTACTTCATTGATTCATCCGTACTTCATGCATACTTCCATTGTGTTATAAATACATCCGGAATATCCATGTATTAATTACGTTGAGTGAAGGATCCTGTTGTGTTTTCTGGAACATTACGCATGAATTTGGATCCATTCGGTCATTTTGATGATACCTTGTTGTGGAATGCACTTCGAACGGCTCATCTGGATTCATTGGTGCATTCGTTTCCTAATAAATTGGAACATAAATTAAATGAAGGTGGTGAAAACATTAGGTAAGAAAAGTACTTTTCTGTCAGAAAATCAAAATTTTCAAATTTGTATAATAATATATATATTATTTGGAAACTTTAGTTTCTGGAAATCTGATTTTCAAGCTTTGAAAAGACTGCAGCTGTGTGACCGGAAAAAAGGATATGGTTGCAGGATGCAGATATAGTCATGCTATTGTATGCATACCAAGAAATTTAAACTGTCTTGAGGACTTGTCAAATCCAGAAAAAATGAGATAGAAAGATTCCTTTCGGGTCTCTCATTTGAAAATAAATGTAAATCGTGCCGTTAAGAATATTCGACATCGTTATGATATATACTATTAATGTGCATACGAGTGAAAATAACTACTGCTTTAGTGTTGGACAGAGACAACTGCTTTGTTTGGCTCGAGCAGTATTGCGTAAGAGTCAGATTTTGATTCTGGATGAAGCAGCAGCATCTGTCGATATGGAAACAGATGCGCTAATCCAGAAAACAATTCGCGAACAATTCTCACATTGCACAGTTCTTACAATTGCACACCGCTTACATACAGTCATGGACAGTGACAGGTTGGCTTTATGCTGGCATTTTTTATTCAGAAATGATTTCTTCGATTTTCGAAATAATTAAGTATAACTAGAATTTGTTATCTCTTGCTGATTTCAGGGTTTTAGTACTTGAAAATGGTTGCATTCATGAATTTGATACACCAAAGAAGTTACTTGATGATCCGGATTCACTGTTTCGTGCGATGGTAAAAGAATCTGGATTGTTGCTCATCGAAGGACGTTAAAACATTTTGTTCCATTTTGCATTTTAAAATCCTAGATCTCCGACTGCTAGAACTAAATTTGCTCGTCATGTAGTAAGCTGTTTTGTCTGGCTTACTTATCACTTATATATTACCCTGAAATGAATCTAAGCAGTTCTCAGTAATTAAATTTATAATCTGAAAAATCTGAATATAAGGAGATTAGTTCATCATTAGATTCAATTCTGGATAATGAGATAATTTTTTAATACAATCACCATTTCAATTCGATTTGGTAAGATCTTTTTGATGATTTTCTTTCTCGTTTATGCATCGTTTTTCCCATCGCCCAGCACTGTTTTTTGTACGATATAATTGGCAATTTGTTTCTTCTTTTATTTGTCATAGTTATATATGATGTGATGAACTTTTATGCAAAAACAGTTTTTCTGGAATATCTACCAACAAAAAAAATATTTTTATTGTTCAGGTCGCATCTACAGGAAATGGACATCTTCATAAATTGTTTGTAGCCTTCGGGATAAATATGAAATGTTAGATTGGTGTCTGATGTATGAAAATTTTGGAAAAGGAGGTCTGTCGAAGTAAGAGAATAGATGGAAACTCGATGAGAAAGAAGTCGGATAATCTAAAATATAAAAAGTGAAATTTGTGGAAAGGGGAGTATCTAGAGTGCATCGCTGTTTTGCCAGTTAGTGGCTTTGCAAAAGTTTGTTTCGATTTCCTGATTAGCTTATGAAAGTTAAAACGTCCCCATTACAAATTAAGTCCTCGGGATATCTTAACATCATGTTCTTATAGTACCATTGATCATATAAAAGTGATCTAAAATAACTTTATGTAAGTCAATATATAACAAACAAAAGAATACACAAATTATACATATTGCACAGAGAAGTGCTACAGTACATGCAATATGCCTATATCACGAGAAAGGACAGATGACCTTGTATTTACGAGTACCTGATATGATGCGAGTTTCAAGATTATTATTGTCCGTATCACGTGGATTCTTTCAGCTTCTATTGTACTCTCTTTCCATATAATTCGTTTGTCCACTTTGAGATTTTCGTCAACACTAGCAGACTTCGACAATATGATCATAATCACGATGGCATATATATTTTGAGCCTTGGACGCATATGAAACGTATTGCATAAGTCGTGTCATTTTCGAAAGTTTCGTTAACTATCGTAATTATAATGAAGTTTCATATTTAGAACTAGACTGTTTTATACTAATGAATAAACAAAATGCTAAATAGCTGGAATACAATTGCTATATAGCTGGAATACATACTTATGATTGGAATACAATTGCTACATAGCTGGAATACATACTTGTGACGTTAAAATATTTTCAGAATAAATATGATTAATAAGTCAAAGTTTTGCAACATAAACTTTTCAAGGATTAAATAATAAACAGGTTTATTATGATTGAAAATACTAATGATTTTTATAAAATTAATTTACAAAATAAAAGAAAATAATATTTGATAGCTAAGAAATGAAAGAATAAACGAGAAAGTAATGACAGAAAATTGAAATAGTATGGAAGCAAATATTGTAAATATTATCAATTCAAGAAGACAAATTTATTGATTTCCTGATGATAATTTGCTGCCCCGAAAAGATTATCAACATGAAAAAAGAAGTGACCGTATAACATTGATAACATTCGAAATGTGCTGAAGACGATTGCCAAGCACTTTGAACTTAATAATGTACGATGATCGTTTGTTGTTTTTAACGATAAGTTGAGTAAATATTTCTTAGAAATTTCTAACTTTATAGAATGTATATGTTTGAATTTTTCTCTTCTCATCTCTATACTAATAAATAATTATATTAAAAAAAAAGCGAAATTTCGTTTTAAAATGATATTTAAAATTTTATTGCTACACTTTATGAATGATAGTATTATCATTGTTTTATTTTATCGCACAAATATATTTCCACTATATGATTTTATAATTATTTTTCTTTTAAGCTAGTAATGATCATATTCATTTTTTTGTAAAGAAATAATGTAATTATTTTTAAAATTAAATAGCAGGTAATTAAATAACAAATTACAGCTGCAACTATCATCACGAGGATTTCATAAAATCATTTTTGGAGAGAAAAATAGATTATAAGAAAGAAACTAAGCGAAATGTATTTGAGCATAAAAATATTTCCGCCTATTTTCTCATTCACTTTTTTACAAATATCGATTATTTGAACATCAAAGCTGTTGCGTTAAATTAGGAGATTTATATTGTTTTATGAAAATTTCAATTTATTGAGAAAACTAAATTCATGCTTGAAAACCTTCATTTGAAATTTTAAAATTTTCATTTAACTAAAACAACAAAATTATTTATTTCCATTTCGATTTATATCAAAATTTTATAACAATGTTCGCTACGTATTAATTTGAACACGAGGTTAATGAGAATTTTTAGATTTCGAAATGGAGGTTTTCAAGCTTAAACTATTTATTATTTATTTATTTATTTATTTATTTATTTATTATTGTTACATATCCACTGGGAGACCTCAATAACAACCCGGTGAGCATAAAACACTTGTTCTAGGAGAAGTAAACATAGAGATAATAAATTTGTGTAGAGAAAGATAAAGAG